TACACTCCATTCTGTCAGCACACACCTCCACTTCTCTCTTTTCCCCACTCATACACTCCATTCTGTCAGCACCCACCTCCACTTCTCTCTTTCCCCACTCATACACTCCATTCTGTCAGCACACACCTCCACTTCTCTCTTTCCCCCACTCATACACTCCATTCTGTCAGCACACACCTCCACTTCTCTCTTTTCCCTACTCATACACTCCATTCTGTCAGCACCCACCTCCACTTCTCTCTTTCCCCCACTCATACACTCCATTCTGTCAGCACACACCTCCACTTCTCTCTTTTCCCCACTCATACACTCCATTCTGTCAGCACCAACCTCCACTTCTCTCTTTCCCCCACTCATACACTCCATTCTGTCAGCACACACCTCCACTTCTCTCTTTCCCCACTCATACACTCCATTCTGTCAGCACACACCTCCATTCTCTCTTTCCCCCACTCACACACTCCATTCTGTCAGCACACACCTCCACTTCTCTCTTTCCCCCACTCATACACTCCATTCTGTCAGCACACACCTCCACTTCTCTCTTTCCCCACTCATACACTCCATTCTGTCAGCACACACCTCCATTCTCTCTTTCCCCCACTCACACACTCCATTCTGTCAGCACACACCTCCACTTCTCTCTTTTCCCGACTCATACAATCCATTCTGTCAGCACACACCTCCATTCTCTCTTTCCCCAACTCACACACTCCATTCTGTCAGCACACACCTCCACTTCTTTCTTTCCCCGACTCATACACTCCATTCTGTCAGCACACACCTCCACTTCTTTCTTTCCCCGACTCATACACTCCATTCTGTCAGCACCCACCTCCACTTCTCTCTTTCCCCCACTCATACACTCCATTCTGTCAGCACACACCTCCACTTCTCTCTTTCCCCACTCGTACACTCCATTCTGTCAGCACACACCTCCACTTCTCTCTTTCCCCCACTCATACACTCCATTCTGTCAGCACACACCTCCACTTCTCTCTTTTCCCCACTCATACACTCCATTCTGTCAGCACACACCTCCACTTCTCTCTTTCCCCACTCATACACTCCATTCTGTCAGCACACACCTCCACTTCTCTCTTTTCCCTACTCATACACTCCATTCTGTCAGCTCACACTCCACTTCTCTCTTTCCCCAACTCATACACTCCATTCTGTCAGCACACACCTCCACTTCTCTCTTTTCCCGACTCACACACTCCATTCTGTCAGCACACACCTCCACTTCTCTCTTTCCCCCACTCATACACTCCATTCTGTCAGCACACACCTCCACTTCTCTCTTTCCCCAACTCATACACTCCATTCTGTCAGCACACACCTCCACTTCTCTCTTTTCCCGACTCACACACTCCATTCTGTCAGCACACACCTCCACTTCTCTGTTTCCTCCACTCATACACTCCATTCTGTCAGCACACACCTCCACTTCTCTCTTTTCCGTCTCATACACTCCATTCTGTCAGCACACACCTCCACTTCTCTGTTTCCTCCACTCATACACTCCATTCTGTCAGCACACACCTCCACTTCTCTCTTTCCCCCACTCATACACTCCATTCTGTCAGCACACACCTCCACTTCTCTCTTTTCCCTACTCATACACTCCATTCTGTCAGCACACACCTCCACTTCTCTCTTTCCCCCACTCATACACTCCATTCTGTCAGCACCCACCTCCACTTCTCTCTTTCCCTCACGCATAGACACGGTGTTTGAAGTGATCATGTAAAATTACTGCATTTCTTAATTATGTACAACAGTAGGGCGAGCAAATTGAATAATTGTTCATTATTTGTGTCAACTTGGTAAAAAAATCCTAAAATGTCTTTGCTGTCACTGAAAAGTGTCTGTGCTGTTACTATTAAATGTCTGTGCTGTTACCAAAGTTCTACTGTGCAGTGTAATCAGTGTTTATTGGCCAAAATATTAATGGAAAATTCAATTTTTCCTGTAACTAACAAATGCCTAAGAGATAGAGTTTTAAAGACACTGAAACATTGAACAAAACATTCTCAAAATCTCTATTAAACACTAAATTTCTGTGCTGTTACTGTTAAGTGTCTGTGCTGTCACAGTCACTCATAGACACGGTGTTTGAAGTGATCATGTAACATTACTTTCATTTAAATTTGCTAAATATGTTACATTTCTTAATCATGTACAACAGTAATGCGAGTAAATGAATAATTGTTCATTATTTGTGTCAACATGATAAAAAAAATCCTAAAATGTCTTTGCTGTCACTGAAATGTGTCTGTGCTGTCACTATAAAAAGTCTGTGCTGTTACCAAAGATCTACTGTGCAGTGTAATCAGTGTTTATTGACCCAAATGTTAATAATATTCAGATTTTCATGCAACAAGCAAACATACAAAATACATTACCATTCATGTTTTCTTTGTCTTTTAATATATATATGTTGAAACATTTATTGAACACTATATGTCTGTGCTGTCGCCTAAATATGTCTGTCCTGTCACTTTTTTTAAGGTGACAGCAGAGACAGTGACAGGAGAGACAAACTATGACATAATGCCAGCTTAGGACAATAACTTCTCTCTTGCACTGAAAAAAAAGCACACTGGTTGAGTTCCATTCTGACAGTCAAATATACTCATTATATTTGATTTTTTTAATAACAATTTCGGAACCCAAAATGCATGGTGACAGCACAGACACCTACAAAAAGTACACATCAAAAGACAACATTTACCACTTATTTTGAAGACACTGCACCAATATAAATTGCTTGAGCATATGGTGCCATGATAGTACTGGAAAGGAAGAGACCTGCAAAGACCTTAGCCTTCTGGCTTACCAAAGGAGCAATTATTATTTGTATTTGTACTATCTGGTGACAGGACAGACACTATTACTCTGGACAAGATCACTGTTTCCCAAAATAATGAATCCAAGTGGAAAACCAACAGCTTTTCTGCTGTTATCAGCCTTTAATGATGTCATGCTACATAAATCACCAGGGCTTTGGAAAGTATTTGTTCCCAGAGACTTTAGATAATTTGAGAAAGTTTGATTTTTTATTTGTGGACAACAAGTTTCTGCACATTTCTGCACATTTAAGGTATTTTGCTGGCTAACATAAGGTTATAGCAGTAATTTGATCAGAATATTGTATACATCTGATAGATATCTTCATTGTCAAGTAATCTGAAAAAAAGAATTATGAGTTGTTTTCAAGAAAATTCATTTGGACAGGAAATGTTACTTTTTTAGAGAATGACCCATATATGTCTTGTGAGGTCCAAGGGTATATATGTCTTGTGGGAGTCAAGAGCACACACACCACATGCACCACACACATCACACACACACACCACACAGAGCACACACACAACATGCACCACACACATCACACACACACCACGCAGAGCACACACATCACACACACACACACACACATCACACCACACAGCACACGCACCGCACACATCACACACACACCACGCAGAGCACATGCACCGCACGCACACACACACACACACACACACACACACACACACACACACACACACACACACACACACACACACACATCACACACACATCACACACACACACACATCACACACACACACATCACACCACACAGAGCACACACACACAGCACACGCACCGCATACATCACACACACACCACGCAGAGCACATGCACCACACACCACACACACACACACCACGCAGAGCACACACACCACATGCACAGCACATGCACCATACACACCACTCAGAGCACACACACAGCACACACACCACATGCACCACACACACCACACTTGAACTTGAAAAATAGGCTGATGATTTTACAGTTTTTTGAGAAATTAAGGAAGTTGAGTGATTTCTTTTTACCAGGTAACAAAAAATTATGATCAAACGTGAAGTGCCAAAAGTCAACAACGGCCATTTCTTGTAGTTGTGTGCAGCAGATACTTTTTTACCTTGCGATGTTTTCTTTTTGAGGTAAACATACTACTGAAAGTTGTGATATTTTGCAAGCTGGGCATTGATGCATACCATATGTAACTTAAAATATACACAAAGCCTACTCGATAAACAGTTATTGCGTTTCATTTGGGGGTGTCCTTCAACTATGTGCCTGTCGACTGGGTTCAACAGTAGCTTTGAGAGCATTAATGTACCATTGTTCTTAGTAGTTGAAATAGTCCTGCACATACGGCTGCTGAAGGAAAGTGGACCCTGTTTCCTGCAGTGTAATGTCTTGCTTTGTAGTCTTAGGATGTAGTCAAGGATGTAGAAACTACTGCTGCCATTGTTGATAGGCTTGAGGTGAAATGGGGTTTAACATCGCGTCCAAGATTATTGCACTTATATAGCGATGTTGTTGATAGGCAGTATGTCACAGGGATAAGTTCTGCTTCATCATAAAGGATATATGGATACATGTTGTTTTGTTCTCGTAGTTTAGGGGTATAAGTTTTCACACAGTCTAGCAGGAAGACATCTGCGTTTGACTCAGAGTCCTAAAGAAGCTTTTGGTTATTTGGTATTTTACCCATGAATTGTATTGGGCATCCACAATTTTTAGTTGGTATTAAATATTTTTTACCCACATATTTCTTTACATTTTGGTATTTTAACTTGTTTTGTAACAATCCCTGTAAATCATTTAAAACCAACCGAATGTAACTGTTGGAACATGAATTTGAGATCGGCTGATATTTTATCTAACAGTTGTAACATACGCTTTATTTTATTTTTATAGCATTTTTATAGGGTTTCCTTGCGTATTTGATACGCTTGGGATTGGATATGTCTGTGTATTTCAGTTCATTTAATACATGTTTTCCGCAAATATGCAGTTTATCTACAGCTCTGGGAGTAATGCTTTATGAATCAAGAACTACTTCTGTCTTTGTCATGCCCTCTTGGTTTCATTCCTACTGGGCAATGTAGAATTTACATTATTCCAAGCATTTACACTTTCAAATTCTTTTTCAGAAACTTACTGATACTGATATTGATGGTTTCAAAGTTTCATCAACAAAGAAGAGAATGTAAGCAATATGACCATTCACCACCGAATCATTGTCCAGTAACTAACAGTCTATCCCTCTACCACACTAACCATTCACCACCCACTATTGCTCTAGCACCACAACCATCCAACACATCTTATCTATCTACCACGGCATCAATCCACCACCTTCTATCCATCTACCACAGCAACCTTTCACCACCTTCTATCATCTACCACAGCAACCATCCATCACCTCCTATCCATGTGCCACAGCAACCATCTACAACAACAACCATCCATCACCTCCTATCCATCTACCACCTTCTATCCATCTACCACAGCAACAATCCATCACCTCCTATCCATGTGCCACAGCAACCATCCATCACCTATCCATCTACCACAGCAACCATCCATCACCTCCTATCCATCTACCACCTTCTATCCATCTACCACAGCAACAATCCATCACCTCCTATCCATGTGCCACAGCAACCATCCATCACCTCCTATCCATCTACCAGCTTCTATCCATCTACCACAGCAACAATCCATCACCTCCTATCCATGTGCCACAGCAACCATCCATCACCTCCTATCCATCTACCACCTTCTATCATCTACCACAGCAACCATCCATCTCCTCCTATCATCTACCACCTTCTATCCATCTACCACAGCAACCATCCATCACCTATCCATCTACCACAGCAACCATCCATCACCTCCTATCCATCTACCACCTTCTATCCATCTACCACAGCAACAATCCATCACCTCCTATCCATGTGCCACAGCAACCATCCATCACCTCCTATCCATCTACCAGCTTCTATCCATCTACCAGCTTCTATCCATCTACCACAGCAACAATCCATCACCTCCTATCCATGTGCCACAGCAACCATCCATCACCTCCTATCCATCTACCACCTTCTATCCATCTACCACAGCAACAATCCATCACCTCCTATCCATGTGCCACAGCAACCATCCATCACCTCCTATCCATCTACCACCTTCTATCCATCTACCACAGCAACCATCCATCACCTCCTATCCATCTACCACAGCAACCATCCATCACCTCCTATCCATGTGCCACAGAAACCCTCCATCACCTCCTATCCATGTGCCACAGCAACCATCCATCACCTATCCATCTACCACAGCATCTATCCACCACCTTCTATCCATCTACCACCTTCTATCCATCTACCACAGCAACCATCCATCGCCTCCTATCCATGTGCCACAGCAACCATCCATCACCTATCCATCTACCACAGCATCAATCCACTACCTTCTATCCATCTACCACAGCAACCTTTCACCACCTTCTATCCATCTATCACAGCAACCTTCCACCTCCTATCCATCTACCACCTTCTATCCATCTACCACAGCAACCATCCATCGCCTCCTATCCATGTGCCTCGGCAACCATCCATCGCCTCCTATCCATGTGCTACAGCAACCAACCATCACCTCCTATCCATCTACCACAGCAACCTTTCACCACCTATCATCTACCACAGCAACCATCCATCACCTGCTATCCATCTACCACCTTCTATCCATCTACCACAGCAACCTTTCACCACCTTCTATCCATCTACCACAGCAACAATCCATCACCTCCTATCCATCTACCACCTTCTATCCATCTACCACAGCAACCATCCATCACCTATCCATCTACCACAGCAACCTTTCACCACCTTCTATCCATCTACCACAGCAACCTTCCACCGACTATCCATCTACCACCTTCTATCCATCTACCACAGCAACCATCCATCGCCTCCTCTCCATGTGCCACAGCAACCATCCATCGCCTCCTATCCATGTGCTACAGCAACCAACCATCACCTCCTATCCATCTACCACAGGAACCTTTCACCACCTTCTATCCATCTACCACAGCAACCATCCATCACCTGCTATCCATCTACCACCTTCTATCCATCTACCACAGCAACCATCCATCACCTCCTATCCATGTGCTACAGCAACCATCCATCACCTCCTATCCATCTGCCACCTTCTATCCATCTACCACAGCAACCTTTCACCACCTTCTATCCATCTACCACAGCAACAATCCATCACCTCCTATCCATCTACCACCTTCTATCCATCTACCACAGCAACCATCCATCACCTCCTATCCATGTGCCACAGCAACCATCCATCACCTATCCATCTACCACAGCAACCTTTCACACCCTTCTATCCATCTACCACAGCAACCTTCCACCACCTTCTATCCATCTACCACCTTCTATCCATCTACCACAGCAACCTTCCACCACCGTCTATCCATCTACCACCTTCTATCCATCTACCACAGCATCAATCCACCACCTTCTATCCATCAACCAAAGCAACCTTTCACCACCTTCTTTCCATCTACCACAGCAACCTTCCACCGCCTATCTATCTACCACCTTCTATCCATCTACCACAGCAACCATCCATCGCCTCCTATCCATGTGCCACAGCAACCATCTACCACAGCAACCATCGATCATCTTCTATCCATGTGCCACAGCAACCATCCATCACCTATCCATCTACCACAGCAACCATCCATCACCTCCTATCCATGTGCCACAGCAACCATCTACCACAGCAACCATCCATCATCTTCTATCCATGTGCCACAGCAACCATCCATCACCTATCCATCAACCACAGCAACCATCCATCACCTCCTATCCATCTACCACCTTCTATCCATCTACCACAGCAACCCTCCATCACCTCCTATCCATGTGCCACAGCAACCATCCATCACCTATCCATCAACCACAGCAACCATCCATCACCTCCTATCCATCTACCACCTTCTATCCATCTACCACAGCAACCCTCCATCACCTCCTATCCATGTGCCACAGCAACCATCCATCACCTATCCATCTACCACACCAATCACCTACCACCTTCTATCCATCTATCTATACTGATTGCTTGCTTCTCCCTGGTCATAAAAGAAATGTTACTAAAGTTGGGTTTACCATGCAGTAAGTAATGAAAAGCTATTCAGTGTAGTGGTTAAACTGGGTTGTATTGTTCGATTATGTTATGTCGAGGTCACAGTGTTATGCCTTCTTTTTCTCCAGTCAACTGAAGAACGCTGTCAGTAGCATTGACAGAAGCAGAGTGAACAGTCTTCCTAGAACACAGGGGTAAGACACCAACATTCTACCTCCAGCGTATGAACCAAAGGGCAGTGTTGCCAAATGCCATGTCCCTTCAAGTGTCAGTATTGTATGTTTGGGACATCGCCATAACCCGTTGATGTCGGAAGATGAAAGTTGGGTGATTCAATCAGTAATCTTACTGGAGACATGCTGACATGATTGTGACCAGATTGTAAGGACAGTGTAAAGGGTTGTCATATAGGACTTCTTTTAAGCATCACCCAAGGACCACGTGTCTTACACAAAAACACACTGTCCACCACCCCAACTCATTGTGTTTGCCAGACAACAGAGATACTTGGCAAGGTGAAGGTCACTTGTTGGACAAGGATATCCTACTTGTTTGTAACAGCTTGTGTGTGTCTACTTTCAGAATGATGAACACGTTCCGCAGTATGCCAAGTGAGCCTGCCCCTCCACCGCGACCTCCCAAGAGACAATGTAGGAAATGTGACACAAATACTTTCATATTAACTCATGTGTTTGTAAATATTCAAGCAGTTATTAGAAGATGCAGATATGAATAATATACTCTAGTCTTTCTGTTAAAGATCCAAGATCATATTTTCCATTTTGAGTTCTGGTTAATATGGGGAAATGTATGTTTAAATAATACAAAATGGGCAATCCCAGCATGGGCCAGGACTTTCGATAAATATTAATGAGAATAGATTGCTAAAAGACAATGTTGTCTCCGCCTGTTTAAACATCCATACGGTGATGCAGAACAGTCAGGATGCAGTCGAGAAGAGAGGGCTTCATTACAGCACAAGACTGAGGATGAATGTGTTAAGTGATAAATATACTCCATGGTCTTGATCATGTTAAGAACTTAAAAATTAGACGTGTACACAATATATTTTGCTTTCACAATATGCCCAAAACAGGCTTTAGGAAACAAATGCAGACCTGATGTTGCATCTGTAAAATGAACTCTTCCCAATAATAAGAGATTATTCCAACTCATGTAGTGACACTCTACCACTGCTGGTAAAACGTGGAACTGGTCTGATCCAACTTTCAGGATCAGATCACAAATTCTCAAGAACTGGTAAACTTCCACAGCAGACATGTGGGTTCTATTCATTTACAAATTAGTCAGTTGATAACAAATTTTGCAAGCATAATAATAATAATTGATTCATATGTAAACTGCCGGACAAAAGAGAAGTATACACCCATGTTTGATGGTGGCTAAAAATGAAACAAACAAGAAATTGTTTTTTGATGGTGATGTGTTTGACGGCTATTACAGTTATGGTTCCAACCTTAGGTTTGCAGAGTACTGGTGACTGTTTTCAGCCTTGTAATGCTTTGATAACGTGATTTTTTGGTGTAACTTTCTTTTGCCAGGTTGTTAACTTAACATGCAGTGAGGCTTAGGATTTAGAAACAATACCTAAGGTGGAAGTCTGTCTCTAGTCATGAACCATATATGTCCTCAACAGACTCATTTCAATAAAGGGAGTTTTAGTGACAAACTTTTCTTGTGTTTTTGTTTGTCCAGCATTCCCAACAGAACCTGCACCACCCCCTCCTCCCTCGTCACGGCATGCTGCGTATAATGATGAGGACGACGACGCCTACAGCTGGGGTGATGAGTTTGACTACCAATCTGACCCAGAAGACCAAGATGTGAGTCCATTATTGTTCATTCTAGTGTACACCTGTTCTCAGCAGCTTTTACCTGTCTGCACAAGTTTTTACCAGTCTACATCAATCTCCGCCAGTCTACACCAACTCACACATATGAGTATACACAAGATCAGTTATCAGACACTTGTGTACACCAGTCTTTTCAAGTTTACACATACACACACAAGTTCAAGGAACAACAGCCTACTCTAGCTTGAACCAGTCTGCTTACTCGTTCAACAACGAACAACGTTTTAGAACATGTTCAGTGTCACTGTTGGCGTTGAGGATTTGCTGCTTACTGCTTTTTCTCCACCTCCTCCAGTGCCATCTCTTTGTTTCTTAGTTTCCCACTTGTGCCAGATGACAAAGATACAATCTAGCATTCATGACAATATCATCTACTGTGTGTGTGATGTGTGTGTGTTTGTGGGGGGGGGGGGGGGGGGGGGGGATTTGGTTCTTTTAAGGTAAAGGAAACCCAAAATTCATTCAGATTGTAAACGTTTACTAACTTCTTTGCTGAACCCATGTTCAAGGTTAATAGCTGGGGTCAACCTGGGTTTTGAACCCATAAACAAGGATTTCTAGCAAAGCTGAGGTACAACCTTCCATACCCCTGTACAGTGAGATTCACACATGTCAACTAAATGAGTTGTGTTACTGGAAACTTCCGAGACATAGGCCGTCATGTAGCTGAAATATTGCCGAGTGCCGCATAACAGTGTTTCAGTACAAGAATCCCTAGCTTCTGTACGAGGATGTCAGGGAACATGTAAGTGACATTTGTTTGGTGTGTTGAGAACAGGCGCATCACAAGACTAAGGTAAGACACTACAAAACAATATTAGAATGTCTTCTCAGGATGTTGGCTTTTAGACATGAAAAAGCAAAGGCGTAATTGGAAAGATGTTGATGGCAAATTATGCACTGTGTTGTTGTGTTGTGATATGCAAAGTTATCAATGTACTTGATTTCAAGCTTGCAATATTTTCAATGTTAATTTTTTTATTTCCATGATTTTTCATCACTTTACCAACCATATTTTATATGCCAGCAAAATGTCAATGATATTTTTTTTCATTCCTACAAATGTAAATGTATCCAAACAAATGTAAATGTACCCTACCTAAAATTGGGATATAAATTACATAAGAAACAAGTTTTGGAAACATCACTTTCAATAGTGACCTCTGTAGCTCTTTCCTGGCACTGCTTCAAATGAGATGAAATGGTCAAATCACAGGATCTGGATTTTTTTATGTTTTGATTCTGACTGAAAGTATTCTGTATGTCTTAACTGACCAATACAACTTTTATGAGAAGACTAAGAATGAAATTGGATAAGGGCAATTATTCCAAAACAACAATTTCTGACAAGGAATGGCCTCCTTCAAGGAAAATATGAAATAAGAAATAGATACGAACTGGTTCAGGGTAGTTAGTAGCCTGCTGTAGTTATCATATTTGAAGGAGGGAAGTAACACTGTGTATATAACTTTATTTCTTCCCCATCTCTAATCAGACACCGCAACCTTTGAACTTTGAAATTAGCACAATAGGGATCCAATTGTAACCGTTTTTGCACATATCTTAAATAACAGACAAATTATTTGCTGTACCCAAAGAAAGTTTTTATTGTATTTATTTTTATTTTTTTCCAACCAACCTCTGAAGCTAAGTATTGATGAGAAACACAGAATAATAAGGATGGACGAAAAATAATTGTGATGTACAAAAAGACATTACATTATTATATATCTATGTCAGTGTGTAGCTTGGGAATGGTTGAAGACCAGACAACTAAACTTGATCACTGTGTAGTGGGCAGCCGTGTAGGTGTGGCAGTCCCAGCATCCCACTTCCCATCATCCCTGTTCATGTGGTTGTGTTTAGTATGTCATACTGTGTGGCCTGCTTGTGGTGGAGGGAAGGACAGGGAAGGTGTGCTTGGTTGTTAAAGCAAATTACCAAGAAAGTATGGGTGATGAAATAGCAAATACAGAGCTTTACACTGTGACTGGTATGGCAGCCTTTGCAATTCACTTTGGTGACTCAAATATTAAGGTATTATTTTTACTATCAGTTGTTGCACAGATTTGCTGAAATCTGAAATGTGAAAAAAAAATTAAACATTTCAAACCATTTTTTTTTAATTAATGCCAAGCCTGATACTCGCACTTATGAGTAAAAAATTACCAATCATTTCCCTGACTGACTGAGACAAATGGTAAATGCTCAGTGATGCGTGTTTGTTTGCTGAGATACTAATCATAGTTTCACTTGTACTCCAAACAGTGTGTGGCTTTGGTCCTTGTACCTTGTTTCCATGGGAATATTATTAAATTAAATTAACATTCCAGTGTCATTTTACAAAGATGCCAAAATCGAAATAGACTTTGAAATTTTCTATTTTTTACTCTTTCTACCAACCTTGTTTTTACAGAAACAAAAACAAATAATTGAAGAGACTTGAATTTATCTTTATTTCCAAACTGCCCCCTACGTTTTTACAATCAGGAGCGATGTTGATCTGAAATTTTCAAACTATCTTTATCAACCTATCTACATATCTTTGTACTCATCCAATCAGTGAAGTGTTTTAGTTTAGTAAGAACTATAGACGCCTGTACAGTACCACCTGGATGACAACCGATGTGATATCTTACAGCCAACATTATGTACCATCTGCCCCATCATATGTATCACTGATCTGAATATTGAAGCAGTAGTGACTCTTTGATCAGTTTGTTTGCACTTTGTAATAATTTTGCCATTTTGTGTAACCACATAGCAACTCGTAAATTATTTCAGAAGTTTCTTTTTTGTGAGCCTTTTCATTGATTTAAAGGCATTTATTTTTTCTCTGTATGTATGCTTGTGCTATTTTTTCACCTGGGGTTGGGGGGAGGGAGACAGGCTTATGATTAGTGTGTATAATTGTGTCTGAAAATTGCATGTACATATTTTGATTGTGATGCATGTGTGTTTATAAGGGAATGGACATGTTTATTTATCATCAAGCAATCATTAAATAATTTGATTTACAAGCTAGGAATGAATTAATGACTGTCCATCATGACATAAACTTGATGTTGTCTACAATGCATTCAGTACAATCAGTACCATCACAACAATGTAAGACATGGGTGCTTATTTGTTTCTGTTCCTGACTGATAAGGACTTGTTTCAAATTTGTTCATATTCTGTTAATATCAGGTAGCCTGCTGGATCATTTAGGCATCATGAACTGTTTTACCCATGTCTGAAATGAAAATATTTCTGAATAAAATCTCTTTGAAAGTTCTAAGGTGTCATTCAAAGTCCATGTTTTGGATACCTTTAAGATATATTCAATGTGGTAAAAAAGAAATTTTCACATTTTAGGTTAGCTAAGAATTACAGATAGCTTATACTTATGTTATATGTGAAGCTATTAATGGAATATCTAAAGTATCAATATGTATTAAGAAATGTTGTCATATTTGCTGTGTTTTTATTTCTACATCTTCTAGAGGGAAAGGAGTTAACTGACTCTAAAAGTCCAGTTTCCACCCTTGCCGAACTAGGCTTACAATCTCAAACATTGGCGATAAGGGGTTATGTCCCTTCTATGTCCCTCCTATTGAAACTTGAAACATGAAAAGATTTGGAAAACATCATTCAATGCCCAGCTAATGTTATACATGCTCTGCAAGTCCTGCAATTGACCAAAATTGCACGGCAGTCGCCATGTTGTTTATGAATCGAATGCCGTTTTATTACGTAATTTTGATTTGAGTCCAGCCAAACTTAACTCCATAATTCTAACCTAGTTCAGCAAGGATGGAAACTGGGCTTTTATAGTCAGTTAACTCCCTTGCCTCGGGAAGATGTGGTTTCTAGAGTTTTGACACAAATCTCTACTTGCTAGGACTATATAAATGAACAGCAGTGGACTCCACAGGACCAGCATGCCAACAGGGGATACGATCAACAAGATACCTATGAAGGTAGGTCTCCTGGTGGAGGGGTTGTTTCGTCAACGTCAACCAGTGTGTCACTTTATTGTGTAAGCATGAGTTAAGCCCAAAGTATTTCTTCTGTTTGGGCTTGTGGATTTCCTTCTTGAAGTACTGGGTGTGGATATGTCATGAGTATAACAAGTACGGTTCCTTGTCATGTTTGTAGTAGCCTTATACGAGGATGGAGTTTCGACTAATTTAGTTCAATCAAAGACGTATATAGAATATACGTCCGTGGTTCAATGATAGGATGAATTGTTCTGAGAAACAGTGAGACCACACTTATATCCAGACCCCCACCATTCTCCCAATATTCATTAATAAAGTCAAAATCATATTAGATAAGATTCCTTATTTTCCTAGATTCATTGATATTTCACTATAGTCAACATTATTTCACAATATCAGGTAAATCCTGTCCTACTCATATATATTGGGATGTTCATTTATACACACACATTTTGCTGATTCAATAACAAATCAATTCATAGAATGCAAATTGGTCATGTTCATAGGATCAAAGACAGCACTTTCCAAGAAATGATTGACCACAGCAGTAGTTAGTAAAACTTTCAATGCAAAAGACAGTGGAAACTACGAAAGCTGCATTGCATGTAGACATTAGGTTGTGTAGTAGAGTTACCTCCCTTAGTCAAAGTGAAATATAACATATGGTTGGATGAAGGCAAATTTTAAGGAGTCCAGATCTTATCCTTCTTACTTAGTCTATATGAATAATTCAGTGGTAAGTGGTATCCTCAACCTGTGGCAGTTGGCTATAATGTCCATACACTGATGAACTTGTCATTCAGACCACCCACTCATGTTAACTGTGTGACATCTCAACATTCAAATAACACCAAGCAATGTCATGTCATAATTGCCAATTGTGTTTTGATACAATAGTTAAATGAAGTTAATTGATACATAATAGATGCTAACGGTATTCTTTATATATTCAAAATGTCTGATGAGCCAGGAATTCATTTAGTAACTTTCTGGTTGTCTGGCTTGTAATCCCCATTACATTGTGAAACACTTACATGTAGTCCCAGCGTATGTAGTAACTTTCTGTCTGTCTCCCCTGTTAACCCCATTACATTGTGAAACACTTACATGTAGTCCCAGCATATGTAGTAACTTTCTGTCTGTCTCCCCTGTAAACCCCACTACATTGTGAAACACTTACATGTAGTCCCAGCGTATGTAGTAACTTTCTGTCTGTCTCCCCTGTAAACCCCATTACATTGTGAAACACTTACATGTAGTCCCAGCATATGTAGTAACTTTCTGTCTGTCTCCCCTGTAAACCCCATTACATTGTTAAACACTTACATGTAGTCCCAGCATATGTAGTAACTTTCTGTCTGTCTCCCCTGTAAACCCCATTACATTGTTAAACACTTACATGTAGTCCCAGCGTATGTAGTAACTTTCTGTCTGTCTCCCCTGTAAACCCCATTACATTGTTAAACACTTACATGTAGTCCCAGCGTATGTAGTAACTTTCTGTCTGTCTCCCCTGTAAACCCCACTACATTGTGAAACACTTACATGTAGTCCCAGCGTATGTAGTAACTTTCTGTCTGTCTCCCTTGTAAACCCCATTACATTGTTAAACACTTACATGTAGTCCCAGCGTATGTAGTAACTTTCTGTCTGTCTCCCTTGTAAACCCCATTACATTGTGAAACACTTACATGTAGTCCCAGCGTATGTAGTAACTTTCTGTCTGTCTCCCCTGTAAACCCCATTACATTGTTAAACACTTACATGTAGTCCCAGCGTATGTAGTAACTTTCTGTCTGTCTCCCCTGTAAACCCCACTACATTGTGAAACACTTACATGTAGTCCCAGCGTATGTAGTAACTTTCTGTCTGTCTCCCTTGTAAACCCCATTACATTGTTAAACACTTACATGTAGTCCCAGCGTATGTAGTAACTTTCTGTCTGTCTCCCTTGTAAACCCCATTACATTGTGAAACACTTACATGTAGTCCCAGCGTATGTAGTAACTTTCTGTCTGTCTCCCCTGTAAACCCCATTACATTGTGAAACACTTACATGTAGTCCCAGCGTATGTAGTAACTTTCTGTCTGTCTCCCCTGTAAACCCCATTACATTGTTAAACACTTACATGTAGTCCCAGCGTATGTAGTAACTTTCTGTCTGTCTCCCCTGTAAACCCCATTACATTGTTAAACACTTACATGTAGTCCCAGCATATGTAGTAACTTTCTGTCTGTCTCCCCTGTTAACCCCATTACATTGTGAAATACTTACATGTACCTAGCGTATGTAGTAACTTTCTGTCTGTCTCCCCTGTAAACCCCATTACATTGTTAAACACTTACATGTAGTCCCAGCGTATGTAGTAACTTTCTGTCTGTCTCCCCTGTAAACCCCATTACATTGTTAAACACTTACATGTAGTCCCAGCGTATGTAGTAACTTTCTGTCTGTCTCCCCTGTAAACCCCATTACCTTGTTAAACACTTACATGTAGTCCCAGCGTATGTAGTAACTTTCTGTCTGTCTCCCCTGTAAACCCCATTACATTGTTAAACACTTACATGTAGTCCCAGCATATCAGGGTTCGCCCTGACGCAGAAAACCTGCGTATTTGACGCATAAATAATTGAAAATACGCTAAAAATATTTACTACTGCGTCAGTGTTGACGCAATGAAACAGCCATTACAATTAGTAAACTGGGACCTTTCCATTTGTCAGAAAGAAAATACAGTGATCCCTCGTTACAACGCTACCTTCGGGGTCCAAATAATTGATGAGCATTATAGATGATCAGCGGTTAACTCTTTCAACACCGTAGGCCGGTTTTCGGCCAAGAAACATGAGTCCCCAGACACCGTAAGCGGGTTAACCGGCCAAGCTGTAGTCACGTCAAAATAGTATATATTTTTATGGACCTACCTGTAATATCATTTATTTATTAAATCTATCACATTTCACAATGTCTGAAATACGTATTCCATTTCAATTTATAATTTTTTATCGATAAATTAAATAAATATTCACTATTTCCCCGCGATGTTGTTGAAAATAAAATTCTCGGACACACATTTCGACAACGGGTCCACATCGAACATGTCAAAGAGCAAAATAAAGGTGTGTTAAACAAATCTTTAAATATATTATACAAAGTAATAAATAAAATCAACAAAAATATATCTAAAAGTAATCAAGCTTACATCTAAGTTATTATTTCCATCTTTTTGTGCGATCGCGTGTAATATAAGACATCTCAGCTTTCGTCGCCTTGAATTCTCGGCTCGGACACAATGTTTAATGCAAAAATATATGCGTGAAAAATCTTTGTCACAGCTCGTAACCTAGCACGATACATTCACGAAGTTCCATATTTTTAATATGTATCGTGATTTCCTGCTTAAAACGTTCAGAATAACGATTTAACAAAAACCTTTTGCCAACTTCTGAAATTTATCAAACACGAGCTTGGTATCACAGCTGTAATTTGATTGGCTGCCTTAGGTCACGTGCTCAAAATTGACCAATCGCGAAACTTGTAGCAGATTTCGGCAAGAAAGCGTCATTGGAAATCAATTTTATTCCAATGAAATCACTTGTTATAACTACGAAAAAAACCAGCCGATGTTACGAGCGTGTAGATAAAGGAATAAGCTTTCTAGCGATGTGTCATTTGCCATTCTTCGACGAACGTGTTATTCATACAAAGCCTCGAAAACGGGGGTATTTCTTCTTGTTACTGAGCGGACAGCCGCTGTTATCGGGAAATGGGTATAATTCTTTTTAAAATGATTTTCCAATTACGTAAACAATGAAAATAAAACAGAAATAGGTAAGTGGATTTTATGAAATCTTATATTTGCCGAAAATCGTCAAGTTTTCGCTTCCTTGGTCCTTAATCTGGATGTTAACAACGTATTAGCTTACATTTTTTTTATTTACAACGAACTTAATTAAGTTGTAAATGCATTATTTTATATAATGTGAAAAACATAACTTTCATATTTATAAACCATAGGATCAGACCTTTCAAATGGTGTATAACATGTAGTGGCAAATATATTTTACAAGCAGGTATTTTCTTTGATAAATGTTGGCTTCATCTATCACACAAGAGTCTCTGGGAACTCGGTGTCCCAGCAGTAAACACTTCTGTTTGACTGGTGTTGAAAGAGTTAACGAAGGTCGAGTCGCAGGTGGTAGACGACCAAAACAACAGTATACATGCTCTGCCTAGTACCTATCACGATCTACGTTGCACTTTTCACAGTTTCCAAAAAGATTAGAATAGAAGTTATTTATGATTCATAGTGTAAAAAAAGATTTATCGAGTATTAGGCCCAATATACTTGACCTTGTGAATCAAAGATATTTATGTTACAGTTAAAATAATGAAGAATATAAAAAGTTAAAATCTTACCTTGTTTATGTTTACTTAATTTTTCATCCTGATAGCGAGATTCTGAGATATGTTAATATGACTCCCAAAAATTGATGAATGACTCCTAATCTGAAAAGTTGGGGGTCATAATGACTCCCAATTTTTAATGTCTAGGGCAAACCCTGCATATGTAGTAACTTTCTGTCTGTCTCCCCTGTAAACCCCATTACATTGTTAAACACTTACATGTAGTCCCAGCATATGTAGTAACTTTCTGTCGGTCTCCCCTGTAAACCCCATTACATTGTGAAACACTTACATGTAGTCCCAGCGTATGTAGTAACTTTCTGTCTGTCTCCCCTGTAAACCCCATTACATTGTGAAACACTTACATGTAGTCCCAGCGTATGTAGTAACTTTCTGTCTGTCTCCCCTGTAAACCCCATTACATTGTGAAACACTTACATGTAGTCCCAGCGTATGTAGTAACTTTCTGTCTGTCTCCCCTGTAAACCCCATTACATTGTTAAACACTTACATGTAGTCCCAGCATATGTAGTAACTTTCTGTCTGTCTCCCCTGTAAACCCCATTACATTGTTAAACACTTACATGTAGTCCCAGCGTATGTAGTAACTTTCTGTCTGTCTCCCCTGTAAACCCCATTACATTGTGAAACACTTACATGTAGTCCCAGCGTATGTAGTAACTTTCTGTCTGTCTCCCCTGTAAACCCCATTACATTGTGAAACACTTACATGTAGTCCCAGCGTATGTAGTAACTTTCTGTCTGTCTCCCCTGTAAACCCCATTACATTGTGAAACACTTACATGTAGTCCCAGCGTATGTAGTAACTTTCTGTCTGTCTCCCTTGTAAACCCCATTACATTGTTAAACACTTACATGTAGTCCCAGCGTGTGTAGTAACTTTCTGTCTGTCTCCCCTGTAAACCCCATTACATTGTTAAACACTTACATGTAGTCCCAGCGTATGTAGTAACTTTCTGTCTGTCTCCCCTGTAAACCCCATTACATTGTTAAACACTTACATGTAGTCCCAGCGTATGTAGTAACTTTCTGTCTGTCTCCCCTGTAAACCCCATTACATTGTGAAACACTTACATGTAGTCCCAGCGTATGTAGTAACTTTCTGTCGGTCTCCCCTGTTAACCCCATTACATTGTTAAACACTTACATGTAGTCCCAGCGTATGTAGTAACTTTCTGTCTGTCTCCCCTGTAAACCCCACTACATTGTGAAATACTTACATGTAGTCCCAGCGTATGTAGTAACTTTCTGTCTGTCTCCCCTGTAAACCCCATTACATTGTTAAACACTTACATGTAGTCCCAGCGTATGTAGTAACTTTCTGTCGGTCTCCCCTGTTAACCCCACTACATTGTGAAATACTTACATGTAGTCCCAGCGTATGTAGTAACTTTCTGTCTGTCTCCCCTGTAAACCCCATTACATTGTTAAACACTTACATGTAGTCCCAGCGTATGTAGTAACTTTCTGTCTGTCTCCCCTGTAAACCCCATTACATTGTTAAACACTTACATGTAGTCCCGGCGTATGTAGTAACTTTCTGTCTGTCTCCCCTGTAAACCCCATTACATTGTTAAACACTTACATGTTGTCCCAGCATATGTAGTAACTTTCTGTCTGTCTCCCCTGTAAACCCCATTACATTGTGAAACACTTACATGTAGTCCCAGCGTATGTAGTAACTTTCTGTCTGTCTCCCCTGTAAACCCCATTACATTGTGAAACACTTACATGTAGTCCCAGCGTATGTAGTAACTTTCTGTCTGTCTCCCCTGTAAACCCCATTACATTGTGAAACACTTACATGTAGTCCCAGCGTATGTAGTAACTTTCTGTCTGTCTCCCTTGTAAACCCCATTACATTGTTAAACACTTACATGTAGTCCCAGCGTGTGTAGTAACTTTCTGTCTGTCTCCCCTGTAAACCCCATTACATTGTTAAACACTTACATGTAGTCCCAGCGTATGTAGTAACTTTCTGTCTGTCTCCCCTGTAAACCCCATTACATTGTTAAACACTTACATGTAGTCCCAGCGTATGTAGTAACTTTCTGTCTGTCTCCCCTGTAAACCCCATTACATTGTGAAACACTTACATGTAGTCCCAGCGTATGTAGTAACTTTCTGTCTGTCTCCCCTGTTAACCCCATTACATTGTTAAACACTTACATGTAGTCCCAGCGTATGTAGTAACTTTCTGTCTGTCTCCCCTGTAAACCCCACTACATTGTGAAATACTTACATGTAGTCCCAGCGTATGTAGTAACTTTCTGTCTGTCTCCCCTGTAAACCCCATTACATTGTTAAACACTTACATGTAGTCCCAGCGTATGTAGTAACTTTCTGTCGGTCTCCCCTGTTAACCCCACTACATTGTGAAATACTTACATGTAGTCCCAGCGTATGTAGTAACTTTCTGTCTGTCTCCCCTGTAAACCCCATTACATTGTTAAACACTTACATGTAGTCCCAGCATATGTAGTAACTTTCTGTCTGTCTCCCCTGTAAACCCCATTACATTGTTAAACACTTACATGTAGTCCCAGCGTATGTAGTAACTTTCTGTCTGTCTCCCTTGTAAACCCCATTACATTGTTAAACACTTACATGTAGTCCCAGCGTATGTAGTAACTTTCTGTCTGTCTCCCCTGTAAACCCCATTACATTGTTAAACACTTACATGTAGTCCCAGCGTATGTAGTAACTTTCTGTCTGTCTCCCCTGTAAACCCCATTACATTGTTAAACACTTACATGTTGTCCCAGCATATGTAGTAACTTTCTGTCTGTCTCCCCTGTAAACCCCATTACATTGTGAAACACTTACATGTAGTCCCAGCGTATGTAGTAACTTTCTGTCTGTCTCCCCTGTAAACCCCATTACATTGTGAAACACTTACATGTAGTCCCAGCGTATGTAGTAACTTTCTGTCTGTCTCCCCTGTAAACCCCATTACATTGTGAAACACTTACATGTAGTCCCAGCGTATGTAGTAACTTTCTGTCTGTCTCCCTTGTAAACCCCATTACATTGTTAAACACTTACATGTAGTCCCAGCGTGTGTAGTAACTTTCTGTCTGTCTCCCCTGTAAACCCCATTACATTGTTAAACACTTACATGTAGTCCCAGCGTATGTAGTAACTTTCTGTCTGTCTCCCCTGTAAACCCCATTACATTGTTAAACACTTACATGTAGTCCCAGCGTATGTAGTAACTTTCTGTCTGTCTCCCCTGTAAACCCCATTACATTGTGAAACACTTACATGTAGTCCCAGCGTATGTAGTAACTTTCTGTCTGTCTCCCCTGTTAACCCCATTACATTGTTAAACACTTACATGTAGTCCCAGCGTATGTAGTAACTTTCTGTCTGTCTCCCCTGTAAACCCCACTACATTGTGAAATACTTACATGTAGTCCCAGCGTATGTAGTAACTTTCTGTCTGTCTCCCCTGTAAACCCCATTACATTGTTAAACACTTACATGTAGTCCCAGCGTATGTAGTAACTTTCTGTCGGTCTCCCCTGTTAACCCCACTACATTGTGAAATACTTACATGTAGTCCCAGCGTATGTAGTAACTTTCTGTCTGTCTCCCCTGTAAACCCCATTACATTGTTAAACACTTACATGTAGTCCCAGCATATGTAGTAACTTTCTGTCTGTCTCCCCTGTAAACCCCATTACATTGTTAAACACTTACATGTAGTCCCAGCGTATGTAGTAACTTTCTGTCTGTCTCCCTTGTAAACCCCATTACATTGTTAAACACTTACATGTAGTCCCAGCGTATGTAGTAACTTTCTGTCTGTCTCCCCTGTAAACCCCATTACATTGTTAAACACTTACATGTAGTCCCAGCGTATGTAGTAACTTTCTGTCTGTCTCCCCTGTAAACCCCATTACATTGTGAAATACTTACATGTACCTAGCGTATGTAGTGGAGCAAATGTGAAACAAAACTGTCCTTGATTTCTGAGGATGATTTCTCTTGTGTGTCTGTGTATAATAACACACTAAGCCTGTGGAGCCTCACACACAAGTTCACCATGTGATAGGATAGGAATGAAAGGTATTTTCTTACCTATAGACATTTTATCGTTACATATGTGTAATTTTTCACTTGTGATGGTTATAACACTTTTTAAAATTTTGAATCAAACACTGTATTAACAGCATGATGTCATCTTTTGTGATATATAGCCCTACTGTGATAGTAGTAGGATATATATGGACTTTCATTTGATTGTGGTCAGAACCTAGCATGCTTTTACTTTAACTCTCTGAGTGAACCTTCAGTGTGAATTGTTTAATGATGTAAGAGTTTATGTGATGCCAAACAAATAAAGTGCCATGTATTTGAATATTTGAAATTGAAATTCTATATAACATTAGAAGGTAATCATGGTTTTGTTGACATTTGATGATGCAAGTAGGGGACCTGAGCGCTTTTGTTTCTTGTGTATTTTCAAGAAACTCAAGCAAGGCCGGCAACAAGAAACAAATACTTTATAGGCTGGTCTTGTGATGTTGCTTCTGCTATGACTGACATGTTGTGTATATCCTTCTCCAGCTTTTGATGATGACGTGAGTGACAACAACTGACATATGTCTGCAGTAACCTACCTGCATTCATATACTATCATGAGTCTTGCTATGATGTGACTGACACACTGTGCCCCTCTGTCTCTCTGTTTGTGACACTCTATGTGTGTGTGTGTGTGTGTGTGCGTGTGTGTGTGCGGTGTGCCTCCCTCTCCCCCCGCTCTCTCTCTCCCTCTCTCTCTCTGTGGTCACAGATTGTGTGTGTCCTCCCACTGTGACATGCTCTGTGTATATTTCTCCAGTTGGTGAAGGAGATGTAAGTGGTCCTGATATATATGTATACATACATTCAACTCTGCCTTAAACTAAAAGTTTGTAATGGAAAATCAGAGAAAACAAAAAATCGTGTGGATAACCATTTTAAAATTCCTGTCTTTACTCATTTATGCAATTAACAAATTTACTATAAAAGCAAAATCTGATATTTCATATTTACACTGTATTGCAAAATGTCATGGTAGATCGCCAATTTGAAATGGAAACCAGGTCTTTCTTGAAGTAATGAATTTTGGTAGAAGAAATTAATTCTGATGATCCTTTTACATTTGTGGAGTTGAGTGTATAAAGTGTCATGTCGGCCATAGAACTCGGGTAGAACTCCTATCTGTGGTAGGTTGTTCATTGGTGGAAGAATACTCCTATTGTGATGTGACGTCATGTCTGAGATGACACCATGTTGTGATGTGACACCATGTTGTGATGTGACGTCATGTGTGAGATGATGCCATGTTGTGATGTGACGTCATGTCTGAGATGACGCCATGTTGTGATGTGATGTCATGTCTGAGATGGCGCCATGTTGTGATGTGACGTCATGTGTGAGATGATGCCATGTTGTGATGTGACGTCATGTCTGAGATGACGCCATGTTGTGATGTGACGTCATGTCTGAGATGGCGCCATGTTGTGATGTGATGTCATGTCTGAGATGACGCCATATTGTGATGTGACGTCATGTCTGAGATGGCGCCATGTTGTGATGTGATGTCATGTCTGAGATGGCGCCATGTTGTGATGTGACGTCATGTGTGAGATGATGCCATGTTGTGATGTGACATCATGTCTGAGATGACGCCATGTTGTGATGTGACGTCATGTCTGAGATGGCGCCATGTTGTGATGTGACGTCATGTCTGAGATGACGCTAATTGTGATTTGACGTCATGTCTGAGATGACACCATGTTGTGATGTGACGTCATGTGTGAGATGACGCCATGTTGTGATGTGACGTCATGTCAGAGATGACGCCATGTTGTGATGTGACGTCATGTCTGAGATGGCGCCATGTTGTGATGTGACGCCATGTCTGAGATGACGTCATGTTGTGATGTGACGTCATGTGTGAGATGATGCCATATTGTGATGTGACGTCATGTCTAAGATGATGCCATGTTGTGATGTGACGTCATGTATGAGTCTGCCTGGTTTATTCTTTTGACCATCTCAGCTCCTTAGGGCAGTTTAGTTTAGATGTATACTAAGATTAAAAAACTACTATAATCTGCCAGGTTTGTGAATACTAAGATCTACCATAGATAGGAGTTATGCCACAGAGGGGAGGCCCAGCTTGATTTGCACGTTCAGTGTACCCCAGTACATATGTACCCATTGCATGCTTGCCTTCTTTATACTTGTCATCATGGCCTTCATGTTTATTAATGATTGAAAAATAACTTTTATTAGAGCTTTATTTTCACGATGTCATTAATTGTAAATATTGGTATAATTTTGACATATATAATTTTCACAATGAATTATGTCAACTAAATACATAAGATGGTACACATGTTGACATTTAACCTTTGACCTGCACAGCATGGTGAGGACAGAGATAACTGCATGAGCTTGTAATGTCTATAATTCTGCAATAATCAGGGCAATCTGACGATCGGCATCTGACTTTGTCAGTAAAAACATTGTAAGTCTAAGTACAAACAAAGTTTGTTTGTTTCCATAATCATCCATGAAATTGACATGTTATTTACACTGATTTGGGCAAGACTGACAAAGGTAGACTGTTACAGTTTGTACATTGCAAACTAGATGTGACATGCAGTGTGGATCCACTCCTATACAAGGTCCAGGCATGGTGTGGCCACGTACAGTTTGTACAATGCAAACTAGATGTGACATGCTGCGTGGATCCACTCCTATACAAGGTTCAGGCATGGTGTGGCCACGTACAGTTTATACAATGCAAACTAGATGTGACATGCAGTGTGGATCCACTCATATACAAGGTCCAGGCATGGTGTGGCCACGTACAGTTTGTACATTGCAAACTAGATGTGACATGCAGTGTGGATCCACTCCCATACAAGGTTCAGGCATGGTGTGGCCACGTACAGTTTGTACATTGCAAACTAGATGTGACATGCTGCGTGGATCGACTCCGATACAAGGTTCAGGCATGGTGTGGCCACGTACAGTTTGTACAATGCAAACTAGATGTGACATGCAGTGTTGATCCACTCCTATACAAGGTCCAGGCATGGTGTGGCCACGTACAGTTTGTACATTGCAAACTAGATGTGACATGCAGTGTGGATCTACTCCTATACAAGGTCCAGGCATGGTGTGGCCACGTACAGTTTGTACAATGCAAACTAGATGTGACATGCAGTGTGGATCCACTCCTATACAAGTTCCAGGCATGGTGTGGCCACGTACAGTTTGTACAATGCAAACTAGATGTGACATGCAGTGTGGATCTACTCCTATACAAGGTCCAGGCATGGTGTGGCCACGTACAGTTTGTACAATGCAAACTAAATGTGACATGCTGCGTGGATCCACTCCCATACAAGGTCCAGGCAAGGTGTGGCCACGTACAGTTTGTACAATGCAAACTAGATGTGACATGCAGTGTGGATCCACTCCTATACAAGGTCCAGGCATGGTGTGGCCACGTACAGTTTGTACAATGCAAACTAGATGTGACATGCAGTGTGGATCCACTCCTATACAAGGTCCAGGCATGGTGTGGCCATGTACAGTTTGTACAATGCAAACTAGATGTGACATGCAGTGTGGATCCACTCCTATACAAGGTCCAGGCATGGTGTGGCCACGTACAGTTTGTACATTGCAGACTAGATGTGACATGCAGTGTGGATCCACTCCTATACAAGGTCCAGGCATGGTGTGGCCACGTACAGTTTGTACAATGCAAACTAGATGTGACATGCTGCGTGGATCCACTCCCATACAAGGTCCAGGCATGGTGTGGCCACGTACAGTTTGTACAATGCAAACTAGATGTGACATGCAGTGTGGATCTACTCCTATACAAGGTCAAGGCATGGTGTGGCCACGTACAGTTTGTACAATGCAAACTAGATGTGACATGCTGCGTGGATCCACTTCCATACAAGGTCCAGGCATGGTGTGGCCACGTACAGTTTGTACAATGCAAACTAGATGTGACATGCAGTGTGGATCTACTCCTATACAAGGTCCAGGCATGGTGTGGCCATGTACAGTTTGTACAATGCAAACTAGATGTGACATGCTGCGTGGATCCACTCCCATACAAGGTCCAGGCATGGTGTGGCCACGTACAGTTTGTACAATGCAAACTAGATGTGACATGCAGTGTGGATCTACTCCTATACAAGGTCCAGGCATGGTGTGGCCACGTACAGTTTGTACAATGCAAACTAGATGTGACATGCTGCGTGGATCCACTCCCATACAAGGTCCAGGCATGGTGTGGCCACGTACAGTTTGTACAATGCAAACTAGATGTGACATGCTGCGTGGATCCACTCCTATACAAGGTCCAGGCATGGTGTGGCCACGTACAGTTTGTACAATGCAAACTAGATGTGACATGCTGCGTGGATCCACTCCCATACAAGGTCCAGGCATGGTGTGGCCACGTACAGTTTGTACAATGCAAACTAGATGTGACATGCTGCTTGGATCCACTCCCATACAAGGTCCAGGCATGGTGTGGCCACGTACAGTTTGTACAATGCAAACTAGATGTGACATGCTGCGTGGATCCACTCCCATACAAGGTCCAGGCATGGTGTGGCCACGTACAGTTTGTACAATGCAAACTAGATGTGACATGCTGCTTGGATCCACTCCCATACAAGGTCCAGGCATGGTGTGGCCACGTACAGTTTGTACAATGCAAACTAGATGTGACATGCTGCTTGGATCCACTCCCATACAAGGTCCAGGCATGGTGTGGCCACGTACAGTTTGTACAATGCAAACTAGATGTGACATGCAGTGTGGATCCACTCCTATACAAGGTCCAGGCATGGTGTGGCCACGTACAGTTTGTACATTGCAAACTAGATGTGACATGCAGTGTGGATCCACTCCTATACAAGGTTCAGGCATGGTGTGGCCACGTACAGTTTGTACATTGCAAACTAGATGTGACATGTAGTGTGGATCCACTCCTATACAAGGTCCAGGCATGGTGTGGCCACGTACAGTTTGTACAATGCAAACTAGATGTGACATGCAGTGTGGATCCACTCCTATACAAGGTCCAGGCATGGTGTGGCCACGTACAGTTTGTACATTGCAGACTAGATGTGACATGCAGTGTGGATCCACTCCTATACAAGGTCAAGGCATGGTGTGGCCACGTACAGTTTGTACAATGCAAACTAGATGTGACATGCTTCGTGGATCCACTCCCATACAAGGTCCAGGCATGGTGTGGCCACGTACAGTTTGTACAATGCAAACTAGATGTGACATGCAGTGTGGATCTACTCCTATACAAGGTCAAGGCATGGTGTGGCCACGTACAGTTTGTACAATGCAAACTAGATGTGACATGCTGCGTGGATCCACTCCCATACAAGGTCCAGGCATGGTGTGGCCACGTACAGTTTGTACAATGCAAACTAGATGTGACATGCAGTGTGGATCTATTCCTATACAAGGTCCAGGCATGGTGTGGCCATGTACAGTTGGTACAATGCAAACTAGATGTGACATGCTGCGTGGATCC